TGCTAATGCAGAACCATTTCTTCCCAATTCTCTGACCATGGGGTCCAGGTGAGGCAGACTCTGTCCCTACCCCCATGGATGGGCATAGCCAGAGGCCTGATCAATGAAATTTTGTATCTCTAAGTCAAAAATTGTTTCAGAGATGAGCACTTGCTACAAGGTGGCCAATGAAAGTTAATATTCACAGAACTTTAGCAGCAGCTGCCCTGAAGGAGGGTACTGTTTGAGAACATAATAAGTAACCTATGGGTTGTAAGGAGTAAAGATGTTTTGCTACCTCAACACCTAGAGTTGCAAGCCCCTAACCTAAAGCAATTGGTCCTCCATTTAATCACAGAAATTTTAAAAGACAAGAAATATCTTAAACTGTCTGATTATCTTGCTAAATTTGAACTGGAAAATGTACTTTCCAAAATTGCTTATCCATGGAGCATCCACTGAAGAAAACTGATAACTACCCACTTGCTCTGCCTTGGCTCATCTATCATATTTGTCATTTCCTATTCCCTTTCCTTAACTACCTGACTTGTCTATAAAACATAAAATCTCAGCTAACTGCTGGAAGGCACAATTGTTCCAGGGCGATCCAAAGAGAAATGGGATTATTTATTTGAGGGTTTTTCATTGTGACGAAGAGAAAGTAAACCTTAATTAGTAGGCTCTAGATCAAACAGCATATTTTGTATCATGAATGATTAGTTCACCAATTTAAATGTTTTTCAATTAATTAAAATGTGTAGTTCATTACACTAATAAAAAATGAAGTCATGGAGGTCATATTTTTCCTGTATTTTTTGTGGCTATCTTTATTTGATACAGATACAGAGTTAATTAGGGAGGACTATATATATATATATATATATATATATATATGCCATACCTATTTAGAGGCAGGTTTAAACATTTCTAGCAGATAAAAACCAAATTGGACTGCTTTTAGTGCACCATCAAGAACTCAATCTGGAGTTTTCATGTCAGCTATGCAACACTATTCTTCGATGGAGTCCTATGGGGAGCACTGGACTAGACTATAGGGAGCTATACCTGCCTTCAAAAATCGAATGATCATTTCAAGCAGAGAGCATACATTCAGATGTATTAGCAAGTTTATGGGAACACATCATAGATGAACTGATATTGATGTTATGTGCGACCCTTGCACCATAACTCTGAAGTGAAACAAATTTACACTTTTGATCTCTGTTTCTGGCTGAAGGTTAGTGTATCATTAAAACCATCACACTAACAAAACAAAAACATACAAACAAAAGATCCTATCACCTTTAAACAAACAAACCTGCTATAAAATCTTGGCTAGTTAAGTCTGCTAGTAGATTAAAAATTTAGATTCTAAATTTAGAGAATGTAATTTAGCAATTTGGATTGTATTGGCCATGAAATTGTAGGCTCTGTAACAGGGTGGTCCCCAGGAAAGGGGGAGGTTCCAGGTTCCCTGCCCCACCCAAGGAAGGGTGGAGCTGAGCAGGAAGAGGGGAAGCTGGAGAAGAGACTGAGGAAGAAAGGAAGCAGGATGGAGCCAGGAGACCTGGAGGAGACGCATGGATCCTAGAGACACGTAAAGAAACTGCGCTTGTCTTTTGGTCGTGGACTGGGTGACACAGATGTGGGTGAGACCTGTGGGGAGGTGACAATGGCAGTTTTTATCTTGATGTTGATTTTGCTCTTTTCCTTCCGGGCTTGTCCGGTTGTTTGTGACCCTTTTCTGTGGGTCCCCACAGGAAGATGCTTTAGACTTGTGGCAGGCTTTGGGGCCTTGTTCTGGGCCAATCCCATTTGGATGGAGTTTTACCCACGAGGGGATGGGTAACTTTGGGTGTTTCATTTAGAAACTAGATTATTTGCTTTTCCTGTATTGTTTCCTAGTTTTATTAAAGTTCCTTCCCATTAAAGTCTCATATGTTTTGTGTTGATGCGGCGGATGGCAGAACCCATTTAGTATAGGCAGGTTTGTGGGGGTCTGGGGTGCCCCTCTCCCTGTCCTATAACAGCTCCACTTTTAGAAAGAAGTGTATATACCAGGGCTGATAATTAGGTAGGCAAAAAGATAAAATTGCTAATAAATCCAAATGCAAAAAGTGTATTTTAGGCATGAAGATGTCTCCTCATAGGACGTTGGCAGAAATTCTCCCGATGGAACCTAGCCCAATAAAAATGATAAAATGTGTGAAGTGATTAGAATAGAAAATCTAAGCCTACAGTAGAAATTTAACAAAGCCATAACATTTTTTTTCTTTCCATTTCAGACCTTCAGTTCATGTGCTAAGAGAAAAACTCATACAGCACGCCGGTAGATACTGAAAATAGCCAAAATGCACCTCATTACACCATTCTGGTGCCAGGAGCAGGTCCAGAAAGAACACGCTCATTGAACACTTAAAAATATTGGCATACACATCTATTTATTAAATAAATATTATCCTCATGCTGGTCCATAGCTAAGGAGAGGACATAAACTGAGAACTATGCACAATTATAAAAGGAGAGGACAAAGAAGAAGGAAAAAGAGGAAGAAGGAACAAAAAGGAGGAGGAGGCTCCAGAGAGGAGGAAGAGGAGCGAAGACAGGTAGGCAGAGCCAAGAAATCAACCAAGAGACAGAGGAGTGGAGCATGCCTTAAAACTCTTCTTTTAAACAAGGAAAAGGGAAAAAAAAGCTTAGACAAAAGTGAAACTGAAAAGAAACTTGCCTCTGTGAAAATGACCTAATGAGTTATACGACAATATTAACAACAGAATGAGACAAAAAGTGAACTTCCAGAAGCAAGGAGTTAAACAGAAGAGAAAACACACAGACATTTAAAATGCAAGCAAAGTAAGAAAGAGCAAAAACAATGCTGCCAATAAGGACTCAGGGGCCAAGAAACAAGTATTGGTAAAAATCACAGGAGAATAGAGGATAATGGTTGGCTTGCATTTTTTTCAGTTACTTTTCCCAACTTTTAAAAGGTAATCTGTGCATTGCAGAAAACGGAAAACTTAAAAAAAAAATGACAAGCAGTTTATAATTTGACTTAAACATCTAGTTCTGTGCCTGTCTGCATGTGTGTGTATATGTATTTATACAAGTGAGCACACGTTTTGTGGTTGAGATCATATGTAAACATATTAACCAATTGAAAGCCAAGGGTCATCATTATTTTGATAACCAAGAATACAATACACCAACTCAATCAGGATAGAAACACAGCCTTGCCTTTCCCAAGGTCAAAAATAGCTTAAATGACAAAAAGACAAGCCTCTGCCTAAGAACTGTTGGCAGAGTTACAATTAAAACATTGCATTTTCTAAGGGGGGGCGGTTCAACTGTATGGAGAATATAACCAAAATGAAAATGCATACATTGTGTAAAAATGAAAAATGATGTAAGAATTATATAAAATAAAATATTAAAAAAAATAAAACATTGTATTTTCCTAAAGTTAATTTAAAATGAGACACAAAGAAGTGGAACATAGTAAGTATAATGCTTCTAAGAGAATTCATTATCAGGTCTATACTTTAAAAATAATAGGTGTTATTCAATTGTGTTTTTTTTACATGTTCATATAGTATGCCCAAAAGAAATGCACTCCTGTCAATCATCTCCTATTTATTTGCCTGACCTACTACTTAAAGACAATGGGTAGTGCTGGAAGAGAAAGTATAGCCATTCCCTTCCCAAAACACAAGATTTCACATGAACTTTAACAAAAAAGATTAACAAAATGCTTTACTCTACTAATTTCTACTTTTAACATATTTTGTGCATCTCAGAACATATAGAAAAACTAAACATTCCCCAAAAAGGACATAACATAGTTAACTATATACAGAGTTGCAAGGAGTAATGCCTTCCCTGTGCATTTCACCCTTCCAACCTCCTTCAACCTAAAGCTCAAGTGAAGCTAGTGCAATGCTCACAGATATGGTTTCGAAATTACATTCCAAAGAAAATATTTCTCATCTATATTACCAAAACTATTCACACATTTTATTTTACTACTACCCCTTTAAATCCATTGGACAAATGTAAACACCTGCAAAATGTCCAGCTCTCTAAAATAAGAGCTTATTTGTCCAGTTCACACATAATACCATTGCACAAAACAACACACACATAACAACTACAGTCTGAGGTGACTTCCTATTGTGACCACCTTGTCCTTCAATCATGTTTCCTCACTCCCTCCTCCCTACCACCAATCACGTGAACAAGTCTAGATGAATATGCAGCTCACATAGTTTGGACAATTTCAAATTAATTGCAAAAGTATTTTACAAAAGACAAACTTCCCTGAGTGTCAACACAAAGTATATAAATGGGCCAGTTTCATTCATACATAAGAATTCCCATAATTGTTAAACATCTAAATAGGAGATGTTGCAATATTGCCATTTATTTGTTCATTATGTACTATAAACAGAGCTGAACAAAATACAGCTCAAAGAGGAATTTAGCTATGTCATTCCCAAACAGTAAGATTTCATATGAATTTCAATAAAATGTTAGCAAAATATGGTCTTTTATTACTTCTGCTTTTAACATACTTTGTGCATCTCAGTGATTTCAGAACATGTAGAAAGACCAGATATTTCAAAAAGGATGTCACATTAACTATGTATACAGTAGGGGCATAAAATGCATACACAGAAAAAAATGAGATGAAAATGAAAACAGTCTTTAAATATGACCTCTTCTTTCTTTTTTTCTTGTGGACTTTGCGCCACCTCCTCTAACCCAGTGAATGAATGTATACTGCTCTCGTATTACAGGAGCAACATTTCCAAAAGCCATACCAAAAGAGTGTTTTTTAAAGATTTTTTTTTTTTTAATAAATGACCAGTGCATCTTTTAAAACGCTTAGGTCTCCCTCCCGGCCAGAGGCACTAGGTTGCTCTATCTTGCCTCTTGCCACTCGCAAGACCTGGCGGCCTGGCTCCTGCCCACCTTCTGGCTTCTGACCTCACCCTCACCCCCTCGTTATCCAGAGCTCCACTCACCTGCCGGAGCAGCCAGGGCCTTGCTGCATGGTGGTTGATCAGAGGTGGCTTCTTCACTTGGGACAAGCGACAAAGGCAGCGCCAAGTCCTGGGACGGGCATCCCTCCAGAGGCCAAGTTCACCTCCCAGTATTGTCTGCGCAAGCCTCCGGGCATCATGGCACCCTCCGGCTTCTCTGCTCGCTTCTCCGCTCCACGGAGAGTCAAAGGGCAGGACCCACTCAGGGCTCGGGATGGATTCAGGAGGCTGCAACCAATGCATTCAGTCACGAGTCTCCAGGACAGGTTGCCAAGGCCTCCGGGGCTGACAAAGCGCCCTGAGCTAACCTCTCCAGAACAGTCCTGGGCTGCCGGAGCGCAGCTGGCGGGCGAGGTGGGAAGGAAGGGCTTCCTGGATCCTAGTGGGTGGGCACGAGCATGATCGGAAGTGCCCCGGGCACAGCATTTCAAAGAATGGAAAGAGACAAAATGATTCCCTGGGTCATCAGCACGAGGTCCATACAATGGCCGGAAGGGCCCTTGTTTCCACGCACTCAAGCTGTGCAGAGCGGGGGGCGTTTGGGGGGCGGTGGCCTGATGCTCCTCCCAATCCCCCAACCACACACCCTTCTTCCTGTGACTGAAAGGGCTTTGGGGTGCGGAGCTCAAGGGCAGGCAAATATCTGGAAAAGACCTAATGGTATCTGCATTCCATAAGTATGGTTGCTGATAGGGTCCTAGGCTCCCTAAGTCGTGGGCAGGTAGGTGGCTGGGAGGAACCCCAGGGTACCAGCACGTGGGAAATGGTGGGAGAGCTTTTGCTTCTCTAGCATGTGAGTGGCTGGTGGCCAGTAGAGCCTTAGTGCCCCGGAGTGGGCTGCAAGATGACTGGAAAGTATGTGGCTCTGGGAGGAAGTAGGAGGGAAAGGTGGCTGTGGAAGGAAAATTTAAATAGATACTGATTTACAATGATGTGCACCTGGAATTTATATAATGTTACAATATAATTATTTTAATAAAACATACTAAAATTAAAATATATATAAAGAGTGACTATTGCAATAGGTGTAGGGAGACAATTCCAGGGAGATGTTTAAAGCCTAAGAACATCAGAAACAATTTAGGGAAGGGGTGGGGGAGCAAAGCTTTTATAGGCCTAGGAAAGGTGGCTCTGGGAGGAAGTAGGAGGGAAAGGTGGCTCTGGAAAGAAATAAAAACTGCTATGGGAGCGCTTACAACTTAACAGTTGCAACAAATACTGCAATAAGAGGAAGGTTACCGCTGGGGATGTTTATTTGCTCTTTATCACCTGAATCAGAGGTTTGGACCTGAGATGAGCAAACCAGCTAGCGTGTGTTGCAGGAAGTTCACACAAAGTTTAGGATGTAGCTGTCCTAGTGAAGGCAGTCTAAAGCTCTATGAAGCATAAAGTTTGATCAATCATGTCAGTTCCTCCCTTGTTCAAGACAGGCTCAGTAATACTGGCCTTCCACAACTCAGGGATAAAGGGAATGAAGTAGGGGATGGCTACATGAAAAGGGTCAGTGTTTTCTCTGGGGTGTCCATGGAGGATCTGTTAAGCCATCTGTTGAACTAGCTGGTAGAATTCAGTTGTTTTAGGGTCCAACAGATAAGGCATCTGAAGTGTGATGGCCAAAATACAAAAGATGACTATTATTATAAAAGGTCATATCAAGGAATCAGGAATTTTCATTTATTTATTTATTTATTTTTGTGGGACCCTCACCGGTGGCCGGGGAACAAACCATTGCTGCAGAGGCTGCGGGTAGCCTCGCAGCCCAGCATTCAACCGCTGCACCACCAGGGGAGGCCCAAGGAATCAGGAATTAAATTCCAAGAGGTTAGTGGATGAAAATCTTTTGATTATGCAACACTGTTCATTAAGTTTTTGATGTTCTGGGTGATATCAACAGGTTTTGTTACCTGTCTTTTCAGGGTACACATTGCCTGAGTGTTTCACCAGGACATTTGCCTTTGAAGAAATCTACCTATGAAGCAGTGTAATGCGGTGAAGAATTCTTTAAGGTATATATAAAGTTGGTTGGACTTTTAGGATATATTCGAGCTTAAGGTAGATACCAAAAATATTTTTTTTATCCTCAGTAGGAGAGTCAAGTAAATCTATACCAAACAAGACATAATTTGCGTATCCATCAGTTACGTGCAGTTTACAGAGAGATAAAAAATGGCTGAAAGACAATGAATAGAACAGTCATCTGATAACCCAGGATTTGCTATAGTTTCCTATTGAAACATAAATTTTAAATCGAATTTTGTCCAGTTTAATTGACACATAGCACTGTATAAGTTTAAGAGTACAGTAAACTGACTTACATATATTGTGAAGTGATTGCCATATTAAGCTTCATTAACACCCATTATCTCATATAAATCCCAAAAGAAAGAAAAGAAAAAGGGGTCCCACCCCCAGGTCCCACCTCTGGTAGCCACAAATCTGATCTTTTCTATGAGTTTATTAGATTCCACAGATAAGTAAGACCATATAACATTTACCCAAATGGCAGGACTTTAAAAATATACTTTGCTGCATGTTTTCACAAGGAATCTCAGATTGGATTTCTAAAGCCTCTTGAGAGTAGGAAGCCAAACCAAGAATTTGACATCAGATTTTACTGGCCGGACGTGTATATTTGGGTGAATCTCTTTAGATGAGGCCACCAAAATAACCTAAGATTCCTTGATTTTAGAGGAACTGAGTTTTCCTTCTTCATTTGTAAGGCCACAAACCTTGTAAACAAGGTACCAGGTGAGTTTTCCCAAGAGGGCTTTGTAAGCATTTGCTCCATAAAGTCAACATTAGCTCCTTAAAAGTATCCAGGTGTATCTCATTAAATAAACACCTTTTTCAAATACAACATTCCAGACAAAGCCTTTGGAAACTGGAAACCAGTGTTCCAATTACCTTCTGTTAACAAGGAGAATGGACTCATTGAATATATGCAGATAACTGTATTGCCATGAAAACAAGAATCATAGTTCTTCCTGAATTATAGACGAGTCCAGCATTCTATTTATTTTTACAAAAGCATAGTCTATTATGCTTAAGACACAAGAAAAAGGGGGTTCCTTACATCCAGGAAATAAAACATTAAAGTAGCAGCAATATTCCTAATCATCAGTTCATTCAATCTGGATTCCTTTTATGTCTTTTTCTTGCTTAATTGCTTCAGCTGGGACTTCTAGGACTATGTTGAGTAAAAGTGGTGATAGTGGGCATCCCTGTGTTGTTCCTGATCTTAGCGGAAATGCATTTAGCTTTTCACCTTTGAGTGACCTATTCGCTGTGGATTTGTCCTATTCAGCTTTTATAATATTTACGTAGATTCCGTGTGTTCCCATTTTTTGAAGGGTTTTATCATAAATGGATGTTTGATCTTGTCGAATGCTTTTTTTTTTTGGCATGTGATTCTTGTCTTCCTTTTTTATATAACTCCTTATATAGTTAAATTTTTAACAGTTCACCTTGCATATTTCGCCTAGGGAAGGCAAAGCATCTCAATTTCACAATACTTCCCATGTCACTCAAAACATATCAGGTAAACCTAATTATTTCTACCAGCTCTCTTTTCACAGGGTGAAAGAACAAATCCTTTGTGATTTTCCAGTGGCCAAAGATAACATTTAAGATTCGATTGGAGGAAGGTAAAATGTCATGAGTTGTCAGGAGATTTGAACACTTAATTAAATGGGCGATAGGTCAGGAAAAAATAAGGCTTGGCTATCTATTTAATCCAAGTGGCAATGAAAGATATTCAAAGAAAATGTAGGAAGTGATATGATTTGTAAGAAAATCCCACATCTTTTAAAAGTGAGAATTCTTTGTGTTTTTTTTTTTTTAAATAATCAAGGGCATGATAAAATCAACATCATACACAGGAAATTATTCTAATAAGACATAGCTCATTTGCCTTCAAAGTGGATTACTCAGAAGATAAGGAAAAACTGTGTGAAACCTGTTATTAAAAAGAAACCAATAATCTAGAAAATTGCGTTATTTTAACAAAAAAACAAATTGTAGTTTTGTATTGGTGAAATATTGAGTACTCAAGGTGTAGGGTAAGGGAAAATGTCAGGCTTTTCTGCCCTCCCGCCATCAGGATAGATGAGGGAACCCTGTGATCCTGAATGCATGCCTGATGGCAGGCACCTGAAGTGGGTCCACCTGCGCTAAGACTGTGCTTTTTTTTTTTTAATAATAAATTTTATTTTTATATTCCCCATACAATTGTAAGACTGTGCTTTTAAGGGCAGCGTCACGGGGACGCCAGTAGAAGCCATGAGAAGCCAAGAAGCCGAGAAAGAAGTAGCAGAAGCAGAGAGAGAAGCAGAGAATGCCAGAGAGCTCAGATAGATTGAAGATTTGCGGGGGGCTGGGAGGACTGCCCAGCACCCCTGCCTGCCACGTACCCACTGAACCCCAATAAAAACCTGCAAAACCACTGAGGACTCTGACTCCTCCTTTACCCGGTCTGCTGGATCAGAAAACCTGCACCGTGCCCGTGCCCATTCCTGCCCTTTACACAAGGTTTTTTTTTTTTTTTTTTTTTTTTTAGCCTTCAAAATAAATGTATCAGTCCTAACTATCTTGTACCACAACAAAATTCTCTGTCCATGAACCTTTTACACCTTTGTATATCCATTTAGCTTTGGTCTTATACTCTTTTTCTTTTTATGTTTTTTTTTTTATTTATTTGTTTTGTTTGTTGGTTTTTGTTTATACAAGCACTGGGTACAGTCAGAAGCGCGGGAGGGTGAGAGAATTCACCAGAGCCAGAGCGGGGAGCAGAGCAGGCAGAAGGACTGAAGGACACTGCTGAGGGGAGCAGCGGGCGGCAGGAGAGGTCTGCGCGCCATGTGGGACCCTCCTCTGGTGGCCGGGGAGCAGCCGGGGATTGAACCGGCGCCGCCGAGGCCACAGGCAGCTTTGCAACCCAGCACTCAACCGCTGCACCACCGGGGAGGCCCTCTTATACTCTTTCTTTCTCATTCTGGAGCAAGCAGTTCTTTTACTTCAGGACAAAACTATTCTCTTTTCCTTAATAAAAATGTATTCTGCTTAATCTTGCATACAATATATCAGTTACAACTTTTAACCATTGGTAACTCTCATACAGAGAAAACTTGCATGTGGATAATTGTGAACTGCATGACATACACTAGCATTTTATAGCAGACTAGCAAAGCTCACTGATACATCTCCAGCTTTTTATGGTTACACAAAACATAGAGTACTATATCCTTATAGTACAGTTTCTCAACTTGGCAAAAATGTTCATTAACAAACCCACATATATGTAAGCTTAAAATTATGCCTACCAATTAGTACTTCAGTATTTTATCTCATTTATAATGATGTAGGTACATAATGAATATTTATTATCAAAATTT